TTATTCTCATTACGCTTCTATTCTAGTCAAATTAAAGAACAATAAGAAAACATCATAAATAGGAAAACTATGAGATAAGTCTATGTGGAATATTAAAGCAATGTTAAAGAGTGAAAAAAAAAAAAAACATTTAAAAAATGTAAAAACCATTCCTAGCTCATGTGCCGTGCCCATGTGATGCGGTGTGCAGGCTGGACCTACGGACCACAGCCTGCCGGCCCCTCATCTGACCACACGAGCTGATGGAACCAGCACTGTTTAAAACCAAATCTGCCTTAGCCTTCACGTCTGCTCTCTCTCAGGAACTACAGAGGGCAACCCGACTCACTTTCAGCTGTCGGGCCCTGGCATTCATTGGTGGCCCCTTTATGTTGCTAGATACTGACATCTTCTGCCCACTGGTGGCTCTTCATCTAGCCTCTCCTGTCCTTGTAGGTTTATATCTTTCACTGACCTTCACATCCCTTTCGCCGGTCCCTTGGTCCTAGTGAGGTCTTCCCTTATTTCTAATTGATTCTGTCCGCCGTGGATGGGAGGGACAGTTCCGAACACGTGCCGTTTATTTCAAGCATCCTGTTCTGCCTGTGTCTTCTTCATTCTTACATAACAGAGCCTTGTATTTCCCCAAGAGAATAAAGATCATAATATTTGTATTCTTTCACCTGGCTAGCGTTCAGCAAAATACACCTTAAAGAGAATGAAAACTAAAGCCCAAATTGGGGGGGAAGACCTTTGTTAACATGTATAAACATAGGTTAATACCCAAACTATATTCTAAAAGCCCTACAAATCAAGTAAGAAAAGGACAACTCAATAGAAAAAAAAAGAACAAAAGATTTGGCAAACATTTGTGAAATTAGAAAACTCTACTGGCCATTAATATGTGAAGAAAAGCTCAGTCACATTAATTATTACCAGGGAAATGCAAATTAATCACAGAGATATCATCTGTAACCCATCAGATTGACAGAGATTAAAAAAAAAAAGATACCAACTGCTTCTGAAGATATGGAGTAACTAGAATATAAGTTGGTACAACTTCCTTGGAAGACAGTTCGGCATTACCTTAGTAAAGCTGAAAATGCCTATAACATGAGACCGAGCAATTCTACTTTTACCCATGTGTTGAAGAGAAATTTTTGACTGCTGTGTGGGTCAAGGGCAGGGCACAAGGATGTTCACAGAAGCCATGTTTGTCATTGTTAAGTATTGGAAACAAAGGTCACTGGCAGTGGAATGGATAAATTGTGGTATATTCATGCTTAGAATTCTATGCAGTAGTGAAAATGCATGAATTATACCTACACACACCACGCTACCTTTCAGACCTGTAATATGTACAGGATCAATCCTCATAAAATTAATTCAAAAAGCTACATAATATATATTTTTAGGATACAGGAAGGTGGTATAGCCAAAGAAAAGCCAAGGAATGATAAAAAAAAAAAATTTAGGGAGGGAATGGGACATGACTGAGCAGAGTCCGTGGGAATTTCAAAGGAGGTAGTGACGTTCTCTTCTCCAGCTGGATAACAGTACTTGGGAATTGGTTGTTATTTTATAACCTACATGTTATCTTTATAAATACTATTATCTGCTTACTATTCAATAGCAGTTTCCCAAATACGTTGAATAGGCACACGAGATTGTTTGCTTGCAGATACTGTAGATTGAGAATCCCACTGACCCAGTCTTTTCTGACCAGTGCTTCTGGGTGTGAAATCAGACAGTGCAGTGGGGACTTCTGCAAATCTGTTTCTTTTGGAGACAAGTTGTGGTTACAACTGTCCCTGGGACCAAACTGGTCCCTGACTGATTATCCACAGGAAGGAAAATGCTCATTTGTTTTATTCTCTGTATGACACTCTTTGGACTCCACTCCCAAATCAGTGCTCTGCTCAGTTGTAATCCATACTTCCAGTTTGGCATGTATCTCCCCAGATTTTAATTTATTTATATATTATATTTATTTGTATTTTCCTGTATACCTTTTTACATATATGTGTGCTTACATGGGGGTGTATGCACCAATGGAGAATACATATAGTTTTATGTTTCATTTTCTTTGTTGCATAAATGATATATCTTAGGTTCTTTCTGTGTCGGTTCATAACGTTTTTATTTTTCCTTTGAAATTCTATGGGTTTGATGGTGTGGACTTGGTATAGTTTAACCACTCCAGGCTGTTGGACATTGGATTCTTGCTTTTGATTTTGTGGGGTTTTAGGGGTTTTTTGTTTTGTTTTTTGGTTTTTTGTTCGTTTTGTTTTGTTTGCTTTTACAAGTACTGCCTTGGTTATGCTGTATGTGCTTGTGTGTGTATGTGTGTATTCTGGACATTAATCAAGTATATTAATCAAGTGTTCTAGTCTGTCCCTTGAGGGGTTCTGTTTAATTTTGTGTAGTCTTTAAGCAGTCCTCTTTTCCTAAGATCACAGATATATTCTCTTATACTAAAATTTTTTAGCATTTTAATTTATTTTTGAGAGACAGAGAAAGACAGAACACGAGCAGGGGAGGGGCAGAGAGAGGGGGACACAGAATCCAAAGCAGGCTCCAGGCTCTGAGCTGTCAGCACAGAGCCCGACGCGGGGCTCAAACCTACCAGCTGTGAGATCATGACCTGAGCCAAAGTCAGATGCTTAACTGAATGAGCCACCCAGGCACCCCATATTCACTTATATTTTAAAGTTCACATTTATAGTTTGTTTTTTAACATTTTGTTCTTTAGCCCATCTGAAATTATTATGGGGAGTGGTCTGAAGCCGTGTCCTGGATTTATGGCTTCCAATGGCTGCCCTGCATTGCAGCCCCATTTACTGAGTGCTGAATCATCGATGGGATATACCTGTCTCATCCACGACTATGACAACCACCAGCCACAATTTAGAGCGCATCCCTGCACCAGTCACTCTCCCAAGACTTGCCAAGTATCCCCTGTTCATCTTTACACCCACCCATTTTACAGCTGAGGAAACAGGGCACACAGAGGGGAAGTGATTGCCTGGGGTAGCACTTCTGCTAAGTGGTGGCTTTCGGGTCTTAACTGGCAGGTGTAGCTCCAGAGCCCAGGCTCTTCACCTCACGTAAGTGTAAGTGTGCGAAGTTTGACTTGACAGACTTGCTTACTGTTCCCAAGGCAGCCCGAGCTAGTAAGTGCTCAGTTTTTCCTCTTCGTGGATCAGCTTGGAAAACTTCGTGCTGGAGAGATGGAGGTGAAAGGGTGTTTTTAAAATTGAAGATAGTCCTGGAAATCTGGGGTAAATCCTCATAAAAACAGACTATTTCTCAGGTTTATTTTAATACGGTTTCTGATAACAGAGAAAGCATAAGATCTTTACAAATTTTAAAGAATGTTCTCCAATTCTAAAATTTGAGGATGTCACCAATTACGCTAGTGAAGTTTATTACTTGATTAAGGAAGTGTTGGTGCCCTGAAAGTTTTATTTAATATTGAGATGATAGTCATTCTCCTTATGATTTTCTGAATTCCTTGTTCTCTTTTTCACTTAGTATAAATGTGAAATGATAGAATGCTTTGGGGATTTACAGCCAGACTAACCTCGATTGAAATTCCAGCTATTGTCCTTGCTGTATTTCCACAGGCTGGTAATTGAGCCTCTCTAAACCTGTTTTCTATCTTTAGGTAATAATACTCTGAAGTGGTGTGATATTTAAACCAGATAATATTTGTAAAGGTACTATCAAGAAACATTGTATGTAGGAAATATGCTATACATTTTAATTTCCTTCTTTAAAAATGTTTATGGGGCACTGGGGAGGCTCAGTCAGTTAAGTATTCGACTCTTGGTTTCAGCTCAGGTCATAATCTCACAGTTCGTGACTTCCGGCCCTGCATCGGACTCTGTGCTGACAGTGCAGAGCCTGTGTTGGGATTTCTCTCCCTCTCTCTCTGCCCCTCCCCAACTTTCTCTCTCTCAAAACCAATAAACAAACATAAAAAAAATGTGTAAATAAAGTCCTTGGCTTAGATTAATAATTTGCCTTTCCCTTTTATATCTCTTTAGAGGAATATGGTTACTTTTATTTCAGAGTTTTTAAGAGAAGTACAGAGTTAGTTCTTAGCTAATTTTTATGAACAGATTTCTATCTCAAATAACTGTCATTTCAGTGTCTCTGAATCATATAATGGTCTTGGTTTTTGTTTGGTCATTCTAGGATCTAGAGAGAGGGCTTTTTCTAGAGGAAAGTTTTAAGGCCAACTCAATATGTAGGAAGGCATCCTGTAACTTAAATGTTTCATTATATACACTATATTAATAAGGTGAAATATTCAGTCACATGGGCTGTGTAACTCCTGGGAATTCTCTCGGGAATTCTCACGGAGAATCTCTGGGATTCTCTCATTCTCGGAAGTGTGCATTACCTAAACAGTTCTCCCAGGACAGATGTTGAGTTCATCTTCCATTTTTATTAGGTGTCAAGATACTTAGTTTCTAAATAACTTTACAGTTGTATGCTTTATTAAGAACTACAAGAAACTACTTTATATGGTAGATTCTGAAATGGAGTAGTCCACTATTCTAGTAGTTCATATGACATTCAAGAATTTTTAAAAAATTTCTTGATTAATTTAGAATGTTCATTAAATTCTCTAGTTTTCTGCATTTTCATTAATAATTATTCATATATCGCATTGTATGTTTATAAAAATCGTGGTGATGTCTGGCCAGTTCGACGCCCAGGTGAGAGATTCCAATAACAAATTACTCATTTTCTAGAACATATTTGGTTTCAAGTGAAAGCACGTACTATAAATTCATCTTTTGCAGTTGAATAGAAAACTAAAAAGCCTGTCTTTCAGTTAAGTAATGTGCTAGAGTGTGACTTTTACCAATCACGTGGGAACTTCTGTGGACAGTTCATAAAATGAGAATGATCGATTACTGGAATGGAAAGAGCACTGACGTCGCCTCAGAGCGGGGTGTCACGAAGGGAATGAATGTGTGATTTTGTTTCTCTGCCCCTCTCTCGTCCAGGTGCAGCCGTGGCCGGCATTTACAGAGTAGCAGGGAAAAACATGGCCCCCCTGGAAGCGCTGGTGTGGGGCGTGGGACAGACTGTATTGACATTAATCATCTCCTTCTCAAGGATCCTCGCCACACTTTGAGGTTTCTGTGGGAACGTCTCACTTCACCTAAGGAAACAGATGTACAGATTCTCCGAAAATGGCGTTGTGAGGGAGTGGGAGTGAAATTGCCCAAGAACGTGGAAGGAGCCGGTCACAACCGAAGGAAGGCCTTGAGCTGTGTGCAAAGATCGCCCTCTGGTGTCCAAGTGATTGCACTACCGCACTGCACCTTACGTGCCTCCGTCCCGGGCCAGGCGCATACACTACCGGAAGCTACAAGAGGAAGCACCTTGTTTAGGTGCCAATCAGGTTCACATTGGTGTTGAATCATCATTCTTAACAGTGTTGTGTTAAGTTACAGGGACGTTTTGAGGAATTGATATATGTGCCAAACTCCTCTTCTTCTCCTTCTTCCTCTTATTTTTTTTTTTTTTAACATTGATCATGTGACAATTTGCAAGTGTAGATGTAGACGAGTGCTGTGAACCACATCCGACATGAATTCAGGTAACTAGTGAGATTTTTGTCTTGTAACGCTAAATCCCGTATGAGTGCTGAATACCGGATCATTTAATATGATAGGGAAATTACTTGATTTTTTTTAACGTTGAACGTTTCTGGGATTTAGGGCTTTAATATGTTTAGGCATTATTGTTATTTACATTAATTTATGTGGAAAATAATACTTAATGGAAAACTAGCTAAACTCTTTTAAGGACTCAAAGTAGACCTGTAGGGTGCATCCTTCCCACTCACTTAAATAACACTCTTTTAATAGCTTCCCTCCTACCTAAGTGTTCTGTTGATACGACTTCAGAAACTTTTTGGGTCACCCACGTTGATTGTAGTTTGTGTGTCGTGCAAATATAATTTGAAAATTTTCTTATAACCTTTGTAAGAAAAGAAGTCCGAAATGCATGTTGCATTCTTTGACCCTTCTAAAGAACGTTTTTGCCACATGCATCCTGGAGAAAACACCTTTATACCTAGCATCTCGGTGGGATTGTATTACTTGTTGCACATGTCTTGATTTTTGACAGAACACACACAATCTTTAACCTTTTGTTCTGGAGTATTAACTATATTTAAAGAGTGGCCTAAATTAGGCTGTGAAAACAAAAAGCCTCATTTGTACATAAGTAACAAGTAAGTTATACACGAAGAGTAATAAACTGTCTTTCTTTGGGCATGTGGTAACATGATTTTGCTAAGTAAAAATTGGGGAATAGAGTAAATAATTTTAAAATTTGGCAGTTAATCTCAGCATATCAGTACAGTCCTGAGCATGTAGTAGAGTGATTCTGTTGTTCAGTTCTTGATCTATGCTGTTATTTAAATTTAGTAGAATGGGAAAGTCCTGAGTATAAAACACTTTAAGAGATTTTGGCAAAGTGTACCTGTTTTTAAGAGTTAGAGGAGTAAAAGAAACACAGAACCTGGTTGACTTTGCCTCCTACTGAGATTTTTTAAAATACCAGGTATTGTTATAAATGTACTAACTCAAAAAGCCACTGCAGAAAACACGAAGTTAAGGGCAATCCAAAAAATAATCTGCATACTCTAGCCTCATGGTTTTATAACCTGACTTGGTAAAAAGTAGATTTCTTTTAGGTCCCATTCAAATATAAGACCTTCATTGCCCACACCTCTTTTGTCCACCCAAAAGCAAAATACATATGGATGACTTAACAATAAGGAGTTGGGGTAGGGGATGCTCGTACCAGTATGGAAGCCAATTTGGGGGGTTTGCTAATGCTGTGGCTTAGAAATCTGTTTTTTTAAAAAACCAATAAGCAACTATGCATCCCTAGAGATCGTTGAAGTAAATCTTCAAATCAATTCTTTTTATTATGTACAAGCCTAAAATTATGTTCATGTGTTCTGCATATTCCTCATGTTTTCCCAAATTAAATGTAGGCATACATTTTCCAAGTCGGTTGGATTTCTCCTTTTCTTTTAGACTTGAATTGCGTTCTTTACTTTTGCTATTCTGTTGACAATTTCAAGTGTTCATGTTCTTTGAGAGGAATTACTCATAATGTGTTTACATTGTTTCAGATCTACAAAATGAATATTTATTTCAACATACGGTTATTTCAGGATTTAAGAAAGTTATCATGGTAAGGGAATAGGTACCCATGGTCTGGAATCCAAAATTAGCCGGAAAATAACGTGGACACATTAAATCCATCAAGGTGTGGACCAAAGAAATTTTAACTCCTCTTTTTTACTCTGGAATGGAAGTGTAATTGGATGGAGAATAATTAGCTTGCAGCTGCCCCATCAGGTTGTTTTATGTGATGAATGTGTGTGTGCGCGCGCGTGTGTGTGTGTGTGTGTGTGTGTGTGTATGTGTATGTGTATGTGTACACTTAACCATTGGGGGAGGTTTTGGTTTCTTTGCTGTTTTTAGTTCTTTTCATCAGGATTTTGTGTAACTGTCCCTCTCTTGATGTTTTGAAATACAGTTGAATAGTGTGAATTGATGATATTGTCTTAATAGCTATTTCTATGGCGAGATTTTTTTTAATCAATGGTTTTCTTACGAGACAATAGATGCTTGATGATATATATCTAGACACACATATATATCATTACATACATATATCTAAAGCTGCTATATATGAATATAGTCTAATTGGGGAAGCTTTTGTTCAGGGAACACTTCTCATGTTCTAGTGGAGAATTTTGTGTGTTTGTTCAGTTAAATGATCTTTTAAATAGGTAAGCATGTGTGAGATTTTTGAATTTGGGGAAATTTTTCTTGATTTAGTCATGGTGGAGACTCTTGTTTGTGATATGACAGAAGCCCTTACTGTATTTGGGTTACTCCTTCTTAAAATTTATATGTGATCTAGCAGTAAACTTTTATCTGATAAGTGCAGGAAGGAAGGGGGCTCCTTTAGAGTTTATACTACTTATTTTGAAAAATGTTTACTAAAATACCGCTGACAGTGAAATCGGTTCCCCAAAATAGAGACCTATGACTAAGTGCCCAAACTAACTCTTACTAAACAGACTGGTTAGAATTGTCCATAGAGCAGAATTAGTTCATGGGGCCGGGCTATCTAAGCTACAAATACTGGGTCACCCATTTAAATGCAGGAGGTACAGGGATTCTGCCCCAGGGGTGACTCTGCAGGCTGCTAGGAGGAGATTTCTAGAAGGCGGCTCTGTTCCTTGCTCGCGGCTTAAATCTCTCTGACTCTGGATCTCAGTGGGTACCAGCCAGTGTTGCGGTTTAGAACCCAGTATACTTTCTTAGTATTTGCGACTTAGGTTTTCACTGCCCAAAGCAAGGGTTTTGTGTGTACTCGAAGTGAGAGCTAAGGAGATGAGCCGCCCCGTATGCCCTGCATCTGTGATATAAGGACCAGGGGTAAGTGAAGATCAGAGTGTCATCGAAGAGGTCTTTGTTAGAATACAACAAATGAAGATGTGAGTGGAGCCACCACGCGAGTGTGCCCAAGCTGACACTCACACAGCAGCCGACTCAAATTTGTAAATATTTTTGGTGGATCTGCTCTCTTCAAAGCACTGTGCTGAGTATTTCCTACAGTAAGCACGGGCGTGACCGAGATGGGTCCCTGCCCCTGAGTCCACCAAGACTCAAGTGTAAATCCTTAGCAAGAGGGGTGTAAATCCTTTTTAGGATTGTAGGTAAATCCTAAAAAGGTTGGGACACTTTGCTTCCTGATTCTGTTTAAGAGTTTAAGTCCTGCTCCCTCCCTTCAAATTCTGTTTTTCTCAGTTTATCCACCAAATGGAGTATCTGCAACTGAGGTATCGTTACTGAGACAGAGTGGAGAGAATACTAGACACTAAGCCAGCAACATGATTTGAATCCAGGGCCCATCACTTGCTGACGTTTTGTTTGTGAATGCAAAGCAGTACATATCTGGTAATACATGATCAATAGAGAGTCATTGGGATTTTTTAATTACATTTTTAATTCCCACTGAATATGTTGTTTTGTAAAATTCATCTATTTTCTTCAGTTTCCAACATTTTCCCTGCATGTATTTTAAGGAAACTAAAAAATGTCTCATAATCTTGCTTCCTTTCCCTCCTCTCCATCTCTCTCTCTGTTTTTTAATTTTTTAAGTTTATTTATTTTGAGACAGAGAGACAGAGGGAGTGAGCAGGGGAGGAGGGGCAGAGAGAGAGAGAGAATTCCAAGCGGGCTCCGCACTGTCAGCACCAAGCCCAGTGCAGGGCTCAAACTCACAAATCGCGAGTTCATGACCTGAGCTGAAACCAAGAGTTGGACACTTAACGGACTGAGCCCCCCACGGACCCCCTCCCCCATTCTTGATTTTGAAAATCAGCAGACACTCTTCTAAGACCCCTTCTGGGAGTTGGTGGTGGCGGGAATGGCCAGGACACGCAGGGTTAAATTGGCAGTTGTGTTCACCACTAGTTAAAGTAGGGAAAGGGTGAGGGTCACCAGCATTGGCTCCCTTGTCTCGTCCTGCTCTCTTCCCTTGATCATTCAGGCAACAGTCATTGAATCTCTACCGCATGCAGCTTACGATCCTTGTTGTAGGGATGGGAAAGTGTGACCTTTAGGAGTCCATCCCTCCACCGCCGCCCGGGACCTTGGGCTTCCTGTGTAGGAAGTAGAACTGGGCTTCAGTGCCCACCAAGTCCTTCCTCCCATGGACCAAAGGTGCTCACGCCCAACCTGTTTGCTTCCAACGTCAAGGAAATACTGCTGTTTTTAATTTATGTACACCTCATAATTCAAGAAGTCACAAGATGCTAAGAATATTTTTCTGAAATATTCTCAAACGACTTCACTCTTGCGATTAAAATCTTTTTCTTTCGCAAAGTCTTAATCAGAATCTCTTCAGAGAGTCCTTATTTGCCTGTAAGATGTGAAGGACATGGAAGGTTAGGAAGAAATTCTGGGAGACCTGAATTGCAGAGGAGCTGGGAATGAACTTGCTGGGCAGTTGCGTCAGTTGTTCCTTTTAAGAATCAGAGGTGAGAATCTCGGTGCTGGGAATGGGCTAGTCAGCGGTCAGATCAGTTGGCTCATAATTTTCCTGAACTCCCAGTCCTTTTTTTTTTTTTTTAATTTTTTTTCTAATGTTTTTTTTAAATTTATTTCTAGGAGAGAGAGAGACAGCGTGAGCAGGGGAGGGTCAGAGAGAGAGAGGGAGTCACAGACTGAAACAGGCTCCAGGCTCTGAGCTGGCAGTCAGCACAGAGCCCGACACGGGGCTCGAACCCACAAACCGCGAGATCATGACCTGAGCGAAAGTCAGACGTTTAACCGACTAAGCCACCCAGGTGCCCCTCCAGTCCTTTTTATAACATCTTGGAGGGAGACCCTTCAGGTGCAAAAGAAAATTATTTGGTTAAAGATGAGAAAGTGTTTCAAACACGTGTTAGCATTTTGTAGCAGCGGGGTGTGTAGAGATGGGAAGAACCCCTGGGAAGTAACACAGGAAAGCCTGGGTAACCTGCAGTGATGTAAACACAGCCCTGCCGTGTGCCAGGGTCGTAAAGTACACTGTGTGAGTCTGTGTCCTGCATGTTTAAAGCTTAACTGGCCACAGAGCATTTGAAATCCTATTGTGTGTGTGTGTGTGTGCGCGCGTGTGTGCGTGCGCGCGCATGCATGTGTGTAGGTTTGCCTTTCTCACGGAAGGATCTCTGTTCAGTGTAGGCAATACAGTGTTTCTGAGGAGGCTGCTGAAGTCATTACCTAAAAACGTATCTGAATTTGCTTGGGGAAGTAGGGCTTCATATGTAAAGTATTTTCAGGAAATGTGGAGATGAACCAGTTGATATTTTGTTGATGGATGGAAACACCCAAATTTCTGAGTGAACTGAGCTCTGAGCTGTACTTGTCGCCTCTCCCGAGTTTAGAGGACTCATTTCTACATTCTTTACGGCCATTGCACATAGGTTGAACTTACGTATTAACCCTTTCTGGATTTTGAAAACTGTGCAGTTTCTTAAAAATCTCCCGCTCCATTCCATACAGATGTCCTATTTTATAGTTTAAACCTATGTACAATTTGTTCATAAACTCAGAAGAGCTGGGTTAGAAGAAAATGTTCTTAACACCTTATGTGTGTAGTTATGCAGCTATAATCTTACTGAAAAATAAATGCTACAGGCAAGTCAAGGAGCATGAACCTCTTACATGTTGTTTGAGATTATACACTGCCCCCATATAGATGTCTCTTCAATGGCGACATAGCTGTCCTCTCTTGGGGAATGTATTTAGGTACATAACTGAAACTAGAAAACACCGTCACACAAACGTATGGAAAAAGGAACTATAATTCACAATTACCATAACTGTAATGCACTTTCCCCTAAATACATATTAATAATTTCTAAAGATCATCTCTTATTTTAGAGCCCTGTACGAATGACTATTAATTTGGTAGTAGTACTGATGATAAGTGACTCTTGTTTTTAATAAAAATATTTGCACATCATCACTAAGTATCATGGGGGAAGGAACATTTTGAAGTTTTCTCCATGGAGAGCAAAATAGAGGCACTTATTTGAAAAGTCATTAAAAATGATTTACTTTCAATACTGGATGAGTTGATGGTATACACTTCCTTGGTATTTGTGATATCAGATGCATCTATGATGGAGAGATTTTTTACAAGTTTGGCCCTCAACACACACATGCACGCACACACACGAGCTCTGCATATTTAGATGAACAAACAAAAGTCCACAGTATTTTTCATTTTAGTCCTATAACTTGGTAAAGTTCATAGGATTCTACCATGAAGTATTAACCCCTTACCCCAGTCATTCTAGGACGAGGGGATCAACTTCACATTAGCCAACAAAACTGTCTTGATTTAAATTGCAAAAACATAGTTTACCCGATAGGTATTAAAAACTCACTTTCAAATTGAGTTAAGTTTCAGACCACCGATGAATCATTTAGCAAAACA